CATTCCGTCATGGGTGCAACATTTATCTTATGGAGGGCTTATTAAACCTACTGATGAATGGCTAGCAAAAATTATAGAATGGAATAAATATTTCGAAATATATCACGATGAATCGTATAAAAAAGGCCCCGGAGTTGTACAGAATTAGTCAGTGGAAACAGTTTTACCTTTTACTTTAATAAAAGATTTTTGTAAATTAAGAACTATAATAAGAATTAATTATAGAAATCTTAAACAAGAAAACTATAAAATATTGAAAAGAATGCCTTCTGAAAATGGTGATTGTCGAAAAAAAATTAAAAAGTTAAGTAAGATAATCACATATTAAAAAGTATAGCTCATTAATTTGTTAAATAAATATTAGACAAAAGACTTGTAAATTTATTGACGTACAGTACACTTATTAAATCCGAAAATTCTACAGTAGTTTACATTTAGTAGTAATTTAATAATTAATTAAGAAATGATTTAATATTTTATCGTATTTTGTTATTTGAAAGGTCTGTGATGTTGAAGTAGAAGACTTGCTGTGACGTCACATAGATCCAAGGTCATGCTAACAAATATTCGGGATCTGGCCATCCTTGTAGTTTAAAGTCCTTGGGTCGTGGGTTTGCGCCTGGCTCGGATGGGTGGATCACGTGGAGTTTTCCGGGTTTTCTCCACATCTGTAACGCCCGAATAGAGGCCAGTTACCCTTAAAAAGACCTCCCAGAAGGCAGAGGTATTTTTAAGGGTAATTGATCGCCCAAGTGTTGCCATAACTTAACAAAAAGAAACACGACCAAAGGCGCCCGCTCTACATCCGGGATCCGATAATAGTAATAAATAATCGGTCGTTACGAGCTTCAAACTCGGAAAGTAACATTTGAAGTCGACATAATTATTTGGCTGGGTAGCTGAGGCGATTAAGGTGATAATCTACCCTCCGGAATTGAATCCGGATCCTCCGGAGCGATAGGTTTTTTTTATTATAACTCTTTCCGCTCTGTGGGCACTAAGAGGGCCTCTTAGTAAACCCATTTTGGGTTCGGCCAGGGCCACAATAAGGCGGCCGGGTGGTGAGGAACGTGGCCCGACATATCCGGACGGACCACCCCCGAAAAATTCCTGGGGATTTTTCGACCCGTTCAAATTCGATCCCGAAGCGGTAGGTTAAAATCTGGAGGGTCGAATCCGGATCCTACGGAAAAACCACAGGAATTTTTTTTTCGGCTGGTCCGTTCCAGACACGTCGTGCACGATCGAACTCACCAATGGCACGACTAAAAAGGTCCACTTAGTGCCCCGGGACGGAAAGAGAAAAAATCCACGCTCGATCGTATCATAGAACAAAATAAAACGAAAAGAAAGTATTTTCGGGATATTATATTAAATATGTTTATAATATTGTGATTCGAAACGTTTCCGTTTAAATTATTACAATTACGAAAAAGTTAAATATTTCGAAAAAAATATCGTCGACGGTCAACATGTGGCAACAATGCAGAGAATGAAGAGCGGCAAGATGGCTTCCGTACAGTTATCTGACGACGAAATCAGTCGCCGAAAATTGTTGATGGACGGAGACGGAATGGGTGATGACCGACGTTTAAACATGTTAATCAAAATGTTCGTCAAATGGTGTCTGACGAAAGAAGAGACGGAAGACGAGAGGATTTTAGCCTACGAAAGACTAAAGATGACTCTGGCCCAATGCGAATTCTCCATGACCAAATCGCAAACGGTCATGGCCATGAATTACTCGGAAGTGCAAAACTACGAAGAACTCTACCACAAAATAGAAAAGGGAATCGCCGAAGCGCAACAGAAAATTATCGATTCCAAAAGCGAATTACAACAGGCCAAACGAATACGTAAGAATAAACAGGAATACGATGCTCTGGCCAAAGTCATCGAAGTTCAGCCCGACAGAAAGGGAACCATGGGAAAGTTAGAACAGCTCAACCAAGACATCCGGGCCTTGCAAAAGATGAAGGACGACGTCGACACCAAGTTAGAGAAGAGAAGAAAACAGTTCCAGGTTCTGCTCAGTGCCGTCTACGAAATGCAGCAGCTGATTAAGGAAGACGAGCCTGGAGATTCTCAGGCCATGGACACATCTTAGGACTTAAATGTTGTGCTTATCGCCCCTGTATTATAAATACATGTAAAATATTCCTAATAAATCTTTTTATATTAATTTGAGTGTCAACACATAATTGTGAAATTAATTAAGTATGAATGAAAGTAAAATCATTTACGGGCTTGTTTTTGCAAGTTATAATTGACCGTGCGAATCTAAATTTGGAATCTTTGAGGAAACCCACAAATAAACTTGACTTTAACTATAATTTTTCTTACAAGTTAGCATTTTGGCAGACCGAATATTTTTTGGAAAAATTTATTCTGTCATTTGCTTTAAAATTTGTCAGATTTTTAATACTCTGCCCATGATGGACGGAATGAGAAAAAATATCTTGCCTGGAATAACTTTTAAATAAATGCATTTAAAATGGAACTTATTAAAAAAATTTTTTTTTTTACTTTGAGTTGAATAGTAAATATCTTGTGAACGAGAGGAACTCTGGATTATTCTACCAATCTAAATGAAGGACAAATTTAAATCTGACAGATGATTTGCACTTTGTTTCTGCATACATGACGTGCTCTTGTTTGGAAGTTTCCAAAGGTGTCGAGAAAACCAGCTAATAGTACTCGGGAGCCTTGTTTGGAAGTGTAGCAAACTATAGTGAACTCTCGACGTAAACTTTGACTGATGGCCATATGTAACTCGAATGACTTTTTTAATTCTCTTGATTTTACCTGCTGTTGATAGCGTAGACCGGTCTTTTATGATAAGCTCAAAATTGTTTGTTTGGTTGGAGTTGGAGGTATATTTGCTTTCTGTGGGCACAAAACCAATGCTGACCCAATTAGCTATGGGCATATTTGAATAGTTCGGTGCTACCGTTCAAAATCTTAGGAAACTTCTGGTTGCTGCTGGCAAACTGCGAGCGTCTTTTTTGGTGCTTGACATGCTAGAAAATGAGTTGTAGCCGCACTGACATTTGTAAGAGCTCTACTTTCATTGAGAATTTTAAATTTAATTTATTTGTTGTTGAATTTACCCTAAATAAGTTAAGATTGGGTTAGTACATCAATAGACTATTTTAATATAGTATTTACATGTGATATTGCAAAGGTTTTTTTAGTTGTTGAAGTATAACCTTAGGATTGATTTCATTATGTATTAAATGAATAGCCTCTTAATTCTGTAATAATTCTGATGATTTTTTCTTAGATTTAAACTATGCAGAAATATTTGTATGATTTACAATTTGGTGAAATGAATTCCCAATTGGATATTCCACCTAATATAGATCTTACAACACTAAAAACAGTAAAAAATATTTTGTTGTTGAACAGGATGGTAAATTTGGCAAGATATTTATATAAGATTACAATAATTCTATATTTTAAGTTTTTTGGAAAATTATAAAAATTCAGATGGAGTCCATCTGAGTTGATGATTAAGAATAAAAATAAAGAAAATTAAATTTTCCAATCTTGTAATGAATGGTTCTTTCAAAAAATTTTTAATAAACATACTGATAATAGTGTGTATATACATACAAAACAATAATTATATATTATGTATGGAATGTAATATTTTATTACAACATTTAAACGATGAACTCTCATAGTACAGGGCCTCAATATACCATACATTGTGTACAGTTCTATGGTATCTAAGACTGGGTGAATAGTTGAGTTGCATTCAAATCCCTCCTCTTAGATGATCCATCATTTGAGTAGCTGCTCTGGGGTTCTATTTCAAGACTATTTTCTTCACTGAAATTTCATTGTCTGGACAGATCATTATGCAGGACATAACAAGCAGTGATAACTTTTGGAATTAAAGCTCTCTTTATGGTGTACAAATATTTCAGTTTTTGGGATATACCCAACACAGCTAGACTTGATCAATCACAGCTCTGCTTGAGCATAAAAATTTGTTATAGTTTTTTTTCTCTTGTTAAGTAGCCAGTATCATGATAAGGTGCTAGAAGTGATTTTGATAGCTAATATGCACAATCCCCTATCATATGACAACCATTTAAAAAAAATTATGGATCTACTAATTTGAAATGGAGGGAACTTTTGAAACATCCTTGAGTCATTTGATGGTCCAGGTCATCCAGAAAATATATCAATAAAAAGCAAATTGCTTCTGCAAACTCCTTGATGCACAACTGCAGCAGTTTTTCTAGGGTTGAGTTCATTTATCTCTTCTAGTGCAGAAAATTCCTAGCGTAATAGGTACCATGAATGGTACCTATTACGCTAGGAAAGGGCTTCTGTCAGAGCTTCGAATGCTCAAATAGATCTTTCTGCTTCTTTGCCAACAGACCAGCAAATAAATTTACTAGCCAAAGATGAAATGTATTTGCAATACTTCACAAACACATTGTGTGCATGGCTTTCAGGTATCCCAAATCTGTCAGCTACTTCTCTATATGTTTCCTGATTGCCTACCAGCCACAGAAATATAAGCAATTCTTTTCCAATTAAGGCCTTTGTGTTAGTGGATAATATTGTAAAAGTATCTGCAAAAATTATTTTCCGTGTTCTATTTAAAAGCAATAATAATTACAATAAGGTAAAGTTATTAAGCATGGGGAAGAATGGGGTTCAAAGTTGCTATGTTCATGATAAAGCATTTTATTAAAATTAAAATTCCTTTAACTTAAGACATGCTAGACAATTATCTAATGAAATAACATCTTAATTAACTTCTCAACTTGTTAGTATTTGGTACTATACTACAGTAGAGCATCGATTATCTGACTCAATTGGGGACTCAGGTTGGTCGGATAACTGAAAAAAATGCATTATTAGTATAGTATACAGGTAACCCCCGTATAACACGGCACTTCTATAGCACGGATTCACTCTGACACGGTTCGAGAATTGGGTAAAACCCTCGTACAACAGGAAATGTAATAAATTTTTACATACTTAAGTAATAATAGTTCACGAAAATTATTATTTTCGTGAACTATTAGTACTTAAGTATGTAAATTTTCTCTTCTCGCCTTCTGTCGATACNCTTTGTTAAACGTTGCAACTTTATTTATATACTTAAGTGTAATGAAATTAAATAAAACTTTATTACTTTTGTATAATACAATAAGTGTTTTGCGATTTTATATATGAAAATAAAAAAAGTAGCGTATTTTTAAGATTTGTAGCCTGAAGATAATTATCACTAGCCCAAAAAGTAGCGTGTCGCCAAATTTGAAATTTTTGTAGCGAGGGCACTTAAAAAGTAGCCCAATCCGCTACTTGTAGCCCAATCTGGCATCACTGGGTAAAGGTGCCTCGTATTTGTGCCTCCCACACCACTACCCATGTGCGAAAAAGATCCTTTGCTGTTCTGAAAGGGAATTAACGATCCCCTCCTTTCGACCCCCTCACATAAGATTTTCAAATTGTACGACAAATTATTGTTATAATTGACACGAAACACGTCGAGAGACGTTTTATTATTTTAAAAGTAAATATGAATAATCAAGTAAATCGTCTGAAAAAGTCGACAGAAATATTGGAAAGACGAAAAAATTACGAATCGAACATTTAATTACTTAAACTTTCTCACAAAACCACGAAATGACAATTTAACTGGTAATTTCAGTTTCTTACCTTCTTTGATCTCAAAACAACGTTCCATAATTATTTCGTTTTAAAATGTACTTTTAGAACAATTTATACGTCTTAAAATAACGACGCGAAAGAACAAATATTTCAAATATATTTCTATAATTTGAAATCATATAGATTTATAGAACATAATTGTTTTTTAAGAAACTATGATGTGTCGATATTAGACACAAGCCTTTATCACATCCACTTTATTCTCCAGTGCTTTACAGTCTTTAATTTATTAGACTGACTTCTGAAGTAAACTGCACCTTCTAGGTCGAGGTGCGTTTGACCTACTGGTCCCCATTTAATATTCGTTTCAACTAAATTATAAACCGTAATTAACTATTTTTCCATTGATTGTAGATTACTAAATAAACCTTATAGAAACCCATTGCACGTATTGATTACGTGCAAGATCATTTGTTTCGTTCATTTTCAAACATTCGACATTCCTAGAATACTCCCGATTGAATTCAGTTTTCGCGGAACCTTTCGGCCTACGGTGAAATTAATCAGGAAAATTTTTGATAAAATTTTAAATTCGTGACAATTAAGAAAAAAAAAGCATGTCCGAATGTAAAATGTTATCCCGATTTCAATTCTTCAAACTTCAAAGATTCCACGGAGTATATTTCGAATATCATTAAATTAAATCTGACGTATTCTACATTTGTGTATACAAATATAATAACTAATTGATATATCGATAAGCATCTGATTTAATACGTTTCGTTATTCGACCGAAATTCGTAATTCCTCGTTTTGTCGTTATGACAAAATCCCTAGCTTCCCTTCTCGACGGTCCTGACGAGAGGGGAAGCTGGGGATTTTTTCCCAGACCCGGAGAAAATTTAGTGCTCGCCACAGTTCCTACTATAAAAATTAATGTTAATTTTACTAACAGAAAATAAAATCTTTAAGACTGATTTTTATTAATAAAGAAACATTTTAAGTATTTCGTTCGTCCAAAGAAACAAGGCTAAGCGGTTCCGTTCCCCGAACACTGGGAGCTCGGTCGTGGGCAAGGACAATATACTACAAGGATAGCCAGATCCCTATTCTACAATGTTAGCCAGGAATGGCAAGTTAGTGACGTCACACGTGTCCTGACCTCTTTGTTTACCTAGAGCAGGGTGTGCACGTGTTTAGTTTTCGCTTTTAATATTCGTCCAATTTTGTGATTAACGAAGTGATTTATTTTAATATTTCTGTAATTGTTTTATTTGACTAAGTTTTTTATAAGGTAAGATGATTTAAATATAAGTCATTAAATATTTAAAGCTATATTTTTATGTTAGGTGAAGAACAAAATACTGAGTACTAGGTGTGCTGTGTATGGTTGCAATAATAACCTTCTTTTCTCAAATTGGAAGCAACCTGTTTACATCGGGTTTGATCAAAAA